TATTTGCTTATGACTACATCCATTAATTAATAACAAAGCCTTGAACTATAACTGCATGTTTCTCTACTGTTCTTTATATAGTACAGCTAAAAATTAGTTATATTCCCTTAGGACAATACTGGCATAAACTTGAGTTTAATTTATATCAAAAATAACTCAAGTGGGGCTGGGGATTTAGCTCAGCAGCACAGCGCCTGCCTGGCAAGTGCAAGGTCATGAGTTCAATTCCCGGTACCAGGAAGAAAAAAAAAACCAAACAAACAAACAAAAAAATAACTCATGTAGTTGCAGCCATGCATTTGGATCATTTAATGTAGGCTGTTTCTTGGATTTAAATTAACAGTTCATATTTTGAGTGTTATAGTTTCTATGCAGAATAAAGTAAGCATGTGTGTGTGGCCATGATTGGTATAAAGTACAAATTTGATACTACTTCATTAATTGTTACAATTCTCCAGCTGTTCTCATATCGGTTTGTAAGTCATTGACTTCATCCTGTCCCATTTTGCATACTGACCATACCAAATGTATCTGAAGACTTCTTTCTTTCCTGTGCTCCTGGTTCTGTTTAGTTCCCTCATTTCTATTTGGATTTCTTAAAGTATCTTGATAGTAACATATCCATTCCAGAACTTGGGGGCACATCTCCCACCCCTATCCACAGAATTCTCCTTCCTTACCTCATAAGGGTAGCTGGGACCCTAACATGAAGCTCCCCACTTTTCCCTCAGCTTTTGCGTCCAATCCATTAAGATGTGTCTGCTCTGATTCCAAAGTTGCCCTGGAATTTGCCTGTTTCTGTTTCTGTTTCCGCCATCTTGTTTCCTGGGTGGCTGCTGTGGGTGGCTGCCTGCTGTTTGCCCAGGCAGAGCTTCACAGAATCATTGTACAAAACAAATTAGATTATATTCCTCCCATGTGACTGCTATGTGTATGCTCAGTAGGTTTTCTTTGTAGTCTGTGCTCCACCTCATAACTTGGATCCCCCAAATTACCAGTCACAAAACTTTGGTAAAGGGCAACAAAGATTTTTTTTCTGGTCTTTTTGAGACAGGGTCTTGCTATGTAAGTTAGCCTTAAACTCACTTTGTAGCCTAGGCTGGCCTCGAACTTGCAGCGATCCTCCTGCCTGTGCCTCTTGAGTCCTGGGATTACAGGCGTGCATCACTTCAGCCAGCATACTGAAGTTTCTGAGTTGTGGGCCATGCAGTCTGTGTCTCAGCTACCTAACTCTACTGTTAGAGTGCATAGATGACCAGAGTGTAAATAAATGAGCTTGGTTGCACCCTCGTAAGATTATTTACCAAGACAGACCACTCACTGGTCAGATTGGTTCCTTGGCTGTGGTTTGGTTTTGTTTTTCTTCTGGTACCGGGAATCGAACTCATGACCTTGCGCTTGGCAGGCAGGTACTGGGCCACTGAGCTAAGTTCCCTGGCCCTTAGGCTGTGGTTTTAATCCTTGACCATTAACTGCTGCTTGACCTCGTTTTCTGCTCACCTTCCTTTCATGTGCTGCACAAAAGCCATTGTCTCCCTACCTTTGTGAGAGCACAGTACATCTGTTTCTTCCTCAGCTGTATCCAGAGCAGCGGTGGCCAGCACGCACCACAGCCTGCTGTTTGTTATTGTTGAAAGCTCGGCAGGGTTCCCATCACTGGCCTCAAGGGCTCCTGCAGAGCGCTGACACTCGCTTTCGGTGTTGAGTGTGTGCTCAGTGTCTTCCCTGGCTGTCTTCCCTGATGACCTGCCACTTCACCGTTGCGCATGGCCTGGCCCACTGCAGACGTCACCCTGCTCAGAATGTGCTGGTTTAATTGCTTGTTCTCCCCTGGTAGAGCCCTCATTAGCTGCTTCATTCCCGTGCTTACATGAGTTACTGATCGATGGTCCTTGCGTAGTAATTTCATGTTTATGTGTATAAATATTGTCCCTTAAGTATATAACAGGTTGTGGAAAATAAGTGTGACATGTTTAGAAGAAAGTTGATTTAGAAAATGTTCTTAATCGTGCATTTTTAAGGAACTCTTTTTTCTTTTGTTGGGGTGAATGTAGATCTGAAGAGGAATGACTATACTCCTGATAAAATGGTATTTCCTCAGGATGAGCCTTCAGATTTGAACCTTCAGCCTGGAAGTTCTACCAAAGAATCAGAGTCAACTAATTCTGTTCGTCTCATGCTGTGATTGCCGAATCATTGGTTTTGCCTACACCTCACCAACATGTTTGTAGGTCATGCTGCCTTCAGGAGGAAATGGGTGATGGAGAAAGGTGTATGCGAATTGAATCTGCTGACCCCAGCATGGTGTAATGGCCATATTCTTTTGGCCTAATCAAACTTGTCAGTTAGAAACTCCCTATAGGATATAGCTGGCAGTTGAGAAATTGTGGAAGTAATGGAACATTAGTATTTATAACATTTTAAAGGGCTCCTTAAAAAGCAGATCTGATGAGGGTATGACTCCCTCTTACATGGTGCAATACCATTAACCAAAGTTAGATGTCTGCACGTTTTATTGGCAGCTGGCTTATGGCCATTCAGCAGGAGAAATGAACTCACACAGCCTTTGGTTACATGGCAGTCTGAAGTCTTCCTAGCGTGCTTGGGGGTCGTGTTGCTGTCCCTAACTGGGGGAGCTGCAGGCCATGGCAAAGGAGCTGCCTCCTGATGACTCAAGTTCACGGGCAGTGGAGGCCTGAGTGAAGCCGGTTCTCAGCGAGGGACTTTATTTATGAATCAGGGTTAGGCTCTGAATTGAGTAACAGAGCCAGTTTTTTGTTAGAGCCCAAATTGTGCAAAAGTGTCAGATCTTATTTTGTTAAACCTTGTTTTATCAAATCACTGTTAAGCAGAAGAAGCCATCCTGAAAGGAGAAGGTAACTCCTGCTGAGGGGCATTTCCTGTGAGGAGTCCCTGACCTCTGACCTGCGAGCTGCTACTACCCCAAAGATTTTAGGGACAGCGTATCAATCAGGACCTGGATATGAGCTTTGGCTTATATTTAAGATTGCCCAGGGGCATCTCACCGTGAATGCTGTGTGTGGTACTTACCTAAGACATGAATTGAGTGGGATCATCGTCATCGGGTGATGTCTGGAGACCGCGGCGCAGCGCTAGGCCGATGAAATGCAATTTAACCGCCCCTGTTTCTGAATATAAAAGAAGAAAACGTTTCATCTGCTTTTTTTCCTTTGTTCTGTTTCCTAGGTACTATTAATTTTTCTGGAAGGGAGCAGTGTAAAGCTTACTTGTATCCAGTAGTGTATCTCATAGATACAGACAAGGCAAGAGAATAAGCTGTTTAAATAGTGTTTAATACTGACATGGCGAGAGAAAGTGTATTACTAAAGATATACTGTATACATTTTGTATATCATTAAATCTTTAAGACAGATTAAATAAATTTATTCTTGTTTATAGCTGTCTATTAGTGCAATCACTGGAAAGCGGGCGTTTGCAGAAGGGGCCGGGCCTGTCGCCCTTCGGCTGCTCCCTCGCTTGGGGCTGAGGGCAGCGAGGTCCGCGGCTGCTGGCGGGGTGCGGGGCGCGGGAGCGGGCAGAGTGACTGCGGAGGAGAGGGGCCCGGCCGCCCCTCGTCTCCTGGCAACCCGCGGGGAACAGGATTGTGATGCCCGCGGGTCTCGGTCAGAGCCTGGCGGCCGCCCTGGTTCTGCAGGCGGAGGGCGGCCTCGCGGGAGCTGCACCAGCGGCCGGCGCCAGCAGAGCTGAGCC